CTGTGTTGGGTGTTTTGCTTAGGACTGGCCTAATGTGAGTGACCTGCAATTTCATTTTGCTAGTTCTGTTTATTCTCCACTAAAAAGTTTTATTTTGCAGCTGTCAATCCATTCAACTTTATATTTAATAGCAAGTGCGCTCACTATGATCTACTTCTAATGCAGTTTTGTCCTAGTCTATGAAAAGTATTCTTCTAGCTTCAACAATGAGTGGTTTTCAAGTGTTTCGATGCTCTTTTAGTTCAATATGCTTTCTTATTAATGCATCATATCATCAAGGCAAGTAACAGTATTATATCTATCTAAATCAGCTATTTTCTTAAAAAGTTAGCATGCTCGGTTTTATAAAGAACTATATTCAAATCAGCTTAGCATGCATCTTTTTTAGTTTCCTATACGAGTCTATGAAATATCTCTGAATAAGCAATTAATTCTTCATATGAAAGTTGACATACCTCATCTTGATCTGATTGATCAAGGTATCGTAGCATAAGGCATAAGTTAGTTACCTCCTCCTCTGCTTCTTCTTCTGAAAATTCTTGAGGCAGAGGTCGGCCCATAAAAGCCTTTTTTATTGTCTGTAGCTTTCCTTCGTATTTGGCTTTTCTCATTCACCTTTCTCTCTTAGTCTGGTTTGGCTCTTCATTATTGGGGAAAATCAGCTGCGAAGTGTGACCTGGCTTCCTGCATTTCAAACAGTACTTTGTATCAGATGAAACTATTGGACCTCTGAGTCTCTTTACTCTATTTCAGCTTGTTCTGATGACACTTCTATTTTCTTCAGGAAATTTTTGATAATTGTCGGGTCATCAGTGCTATCTCATCTCTTCCTCCCTGTAGATGGTTTCACTTTCTGGAGTTGCTAGCTTTTAATGTCCACCGCATTCTCTCCTTATTTTTTTCACCTTGCATCACTTTGCCTTTGCTCACTTCTTGTCTGTATGCAATGATGACCCCAAGGGGTATCAATAGAATAAACATTAAGGTCTTTGGAACTCAGTGATAATAGTTGATCTTTAGCTTTCATTAGCACTAGGTAGGCATCTAAGAATATTTATTCTCACTTTCTCAGAATTTGATTGAAATTTCTCTAGCCTACAGGCATGCAGGGATGTCATGATTTGGTTGTGAACCTAGTGTTAACATTGTCAAAAATTTGTTTCGCTATGTTTTCATAGGATAATTCTATCATGCAGTCTAGTAATGTTAAAGCCGTAGATCTATTTTACTTCGTTTGTCCTCGTATTATATGCACAGTCTATCCCATCTCCTACCATAAAACAGTAGATACTTCATATAGTCCTCATATTTCATATGTCATAAAAAAAGCAATTTTAAGCAACTTAGTCATTCAGTTGGGCTTAACTTCCTATCCTCATTGCTCCATTCTTAAATGGTATAGAAGTTTAAACCCATTATACAGTTATTAAACGGTGCATACATATCCATTATTTACTAACATCCACATGCGGTAATCTATAGATTGCAAAAATGTTAGACATTCTATATTTTTCCAAAATCAAACGGGATGTTTTCAAAAAAGTTGTGTTTGGACGAAGTTATTGAATTAACCCTCCGCAGTTCGTTACGATTATCCAAAATTTGACATTGATTCAGTTTTTCAAGGTTTCTAAACACTATTTTTGAAAAAACAGCGCTAAACCAATTGAAATTACTAAATGAAGAGGGGGGTGAATTGGTGAAAAAACTTTTTCTCAATAAATAGTAATCTCTAACAGGAGTTCTAATCATTTTTGTTATTTTTTGAAATTTACAACAAAACTTTAAACAAATTTTCGCTTCCACCAAATTTCACACGAAGAATTATGAAAAAAATTAGTGCAAGAAAAAGTATAATGACGATAAGGGAAAAAACACACCAGAGATTTTATAGTGGTTCGGTCAAAATATGACCTACGTTCACTCCCCGGAGTCCTGCCGCTTCGTGATTTTCACTACCAAATAGTCTCCTTTTTTCCCCCCTTGGCAAGGCGGGAAGAAAGCTTTACAAAACCTCCCTTTCGCACCAACCCGGTGTGGCGGCAAGTGCCAAACTCTTATTTTCGTCCTCCTGGGTGACTGGCAGCATAACTTCAGTCTGTTGGGTTTTCTTTCTCTGGAGAAGGGCAGAGAACCCGATGGTCTACTGGATGTAGACGAGCCTTTCCCTTGGCAGACTCTCCCTCAAATTCTTCTAGGGCCCACAGGAGGAGCAAGATGTCATGAAGTTCGGAGCAAACTGTTGTGATCTCCCTCCCTCACACCTTTTCTCCCTCACAATGCTCACCTTCTTCTTCCTCTCTTAACCCTAAAGAACTTCTCTAGAGCTCTCTCCCTTGGAATCCCTCTCTAACCATGTTCTCCCTCTCTATAAATCTTACTGAAAAAGGACGAGATTAACACCTAAAATGGGCTCAAAAAACCACTGATTTCAAAAGTAGCCGTTACTGTTCATACAGTACGATTCAACATCGTACAGTACGATTCAACATCGTACAGTACGATCTCCGTAAACAGACTTCATCATGGTACGAAGATGTACGAACAGTTAAAAAACAATTCGTACTGTACGATATAATATCGTACGATACGATCCACAAAATACCAGATGTCGTCTCTGTTCATCGTATGGTACGATCACTATCGTACAGTACGATGAGACAAAAACTAAGAGATCGTCCAGGACGATATCCAGGACGATCAAACTTCGTCTCTGTTCATCGTACGGTACGATCTGGTTTGTACAGTACGATGTTCAAAATATAATTAGGCCTGGATTACATACACTATTCACGGGTTAATTTAAGTAAGTATTTCAAATAAATCGTACAGTACGAAAAGGTTCGTACAGTACGAACGGCGCAAAATAACTTACTTAAACTAAACTACGGCTAGGGTTTTGGATCTGAACATATCGTACAGTACGACTAAATTCGTACAGTATGATCTATTCACAGAATCGTCCACATAGCTCGGATCGTACGGTACGAATTAAAATCATACAGTACAATCTCCAGAGAATAAGTTCTATTACATTTTGCATTTAAAAACAAACTCTCCCCCTGTGTGTGTGCATGGTTGCTCTTACTCTTATTCATTTTGTGGCTAGACTCAAGAAAATAAAAAAACAATAAATAGAAAAATACAATATCTGACTCATACTCCTAATCTACCCGTTCTTGAGTCTTCCTTTCATCCCGAGTTACTTGTGATCTTACTGAAATGTTAGTACTCAAGGACAATAGCAAATAAACTAATATTCAATGAAATTTTTTTTCAAAACAATCATTATTTGGCATCATCAAAATCTCAAACTCGGGGTCATGGGTTGCAACACTTCCTCCATCTAACAAAATACGCCAAGCACTAGAATTAACTTTCTTTTGGGCTTCATACATAACATCACCACCATACTTAAACTTCATTGTTCTATGGAACAATGAATCCGGCTTTTGTAAGAAATTTCAGTCCAATTTAGATCTAAGAGAGCCAACTCTAAGCAAAGGAGAATGTAAACCCAACCCTCCAAAACTCTTTGGTTTGCAAATCTCTCCCCAAGCCACATAACGCATTCCATTAGATCCAACATTTTTATGCCAAATGAAATTTCTACACAATTTTTCCAATTCATGAAGCACCCTCTTGGGAACCAACGAATGAGTAATCAAAAAGTTTGGCATAGAAAGCAAAGAGCTTTCAATAAGAGTGAGCTTACCTCCCATAGAAAGAGACTTCTTACTCCAAGCATTGAGCCTATCCATAACATTACTAAGAAGCTCTTGAAAATCAGCCACTGTGAGTTTCCTAAGAGAGATCTTCACACCCAAGTATTCCATCTCCTTGACCACTTTGAAGACAAGTAATTTAGTAATCTTCTTCTTCATTGGGTACCTAACCACCTTGCCTAAAATAATTTGTGATTTGCTGAAATTAACTCTTTGTCCTGTCCACTTGCAAAAGTCTTCCACAATGATCTTCAATGCCTTAGCTAAGGCAGAAGAGGCATGAGAGAAGATTAGCACATCATCAGCATAAAGGAGATGTGTAATCTTTGGGCCTCTGGGAGAGATATGAATGCCAAGAGACTGCCCCCTTTGTTCCACGGAATTGGACAATAGTTGGGAGCACAAAATGAAAAGGTATGGTGATAGTGGACATCCTTGACGGAACCAACTATGAGCATTAATCCACTTGGAATTCTTTCCATTGATGATAATGGAAAACCTCACATCTACAACACATTCCAATAGAAGGTTAGAGAAATTAGAAGGAAAGCCGCACCACTTAAGAATTTGATGAAGAGTTGCCCATCCCATGCTATCATAGGCTTGCTCCATATCCAATTTTATAGCCATCAATCCCTTCTTTTTCTTAGATATCTTGAACTTATGAAAAATCGCTTGAGCCAAAAGGCAATGCTCTAAAATAGATCTCCGAGGAATAGAAATCATATTGGAAATTCCCTTCTTCAATCTATTAACTAACATGGTAGCAACAATCTTATAGTTAGTTTGGCAAAGGCTGATAGGCCTGTAGTTAGCCGGAACCAATGGATTTTTAACTTTAGAAATTAAGACAATCAGGATATCTTTCCACTTCTTACTCATACGGCTGGACTTAAAAAAATAGCTGACAGCATTCCATAAAGTCTCCCACATAATACTCCAATAACTTTTGTAAAAAGAAGAAGTAACACCATCCATACCTGGAGACTTATTGTTCCCTTGCTGGAAGACCGAACATTGCAGCTCATTCACCGAAAAATCCTCATTAAGCAAGGCTATATCCTCAGCTGAAACCATATGTTTTTCTGTAGCTAACGGCCAACCCGTTAAATCACAGTTCCTGTGCTGCCACTTCTTTTCAAAAAACTGATAAAAAACCTTCTCAATTTGATCATCTTCATCATGTACCTTATTGAACTCATCTTTAATTTGGTTAATCCGATTTCCATTCCTTCTAGCCATGGCAAAGTTATGGAAAAGCTTGGAATTTGTATCTCATTCTTCATGCCATCTAGCTTTTGCCCTTTGATTCCACCATGTAGAAAGTCTTCTTAAAGTGACATTAAGCTCTTGTACTTTAGTTCGAAGCAAAAAAAGATCATCAGCTGACCAATTCTCCCCCAAAGCCTCCTTGTTTTGAAGTTCAAGGATCTCCTCTTTCAGTTTTTCCTTTAAACTGTTCAAGTCTTTGCATTTTTTTTTATTCCAAAAAAATAATGCTCTTAAAGTTCTACTAGTCTTCCTTTGTAAGATCATATTTTCATCACCATAATCCTTCTTTTTCCAAGAGTGATAAACAACACTCTTAGCTACCGGGTAAGACCTCCATGTATCCTCAAACTTGATAACCTTTGACTTGAACCGCACACTAACATCCAATTTAAGAACAATTGGACTATGGTCAGATGCCACTCTGGCCAAATGTCTAATAACAGCTAATGGAAGCTTCTGAATAGCAAATGAGTTTAACAAACACCTGTCCAACCTCTCCCATATCCGAGAGGCCCCCTCCTTGTTGTTACACCAAGTAAACCTTGGTCCAATGCACCCAATGTCATGAAAATCTGAATTCATCATAAAACCTTTCATCTCCTTAGGTCCTTTAGAAAACAAGAACCTCTTTCCTCCTCTTTTCTCCTCCTTATTTAAGATACAATTAAAGTCCCCTCCAATGATGGTAGGAAATGAATCCTCCATACATTTCTCAAGTTGATTCCACAAACTTCCCCTCTCCCTACAACACCTACTCCCATACACAATAACAACTTTCCAAATTCCCAAGTTAGGAATCAAATAGTTACCAACAATAACCTGAGAAGAAGTTTCCTTCACATCAAAAGAAACCAACTTCCGGTTCCATAACACCAGAATCCCTCCAGAGGTACCCATTGCATGGTAATGCCAATAGTCCCAGTCCTTCCTAATGAGACAGTCAATCTCCCTTCTATCAATGCTAGAAAGCTTGGTCTCCATGAGACCAATAAAAAATACATCTTATTCTCTAACAATTTCCTTTAAATATAGGGAAGCCTCTTTCTTCCTTGCCCCCCTACAATTCCAAAACAATAATGAAGATATTTAAACAAGTATAAAGGATTTCTCCCCATTGAGGGAATTCATCCTTCCGTCCCTCTTTTTCTTCTTATAGTCAGGTTCAACTGACCCTAAAGATCTCAACTCCTTGGCTAACTTTACTTTAGCAGCACCACTTTGAGACCCCACACCCATATGATTGAATTCTAGACCAGCTACATTCATAACCTTGTCCATTGATTTATCAATTTCTTCATACTTACCACTGCCTTCTTCTTCACTAACATTAGTTAACGCAGCAAATCTATTGATTAATTAAATTTCTGGAGGTTTAACACCCTCAGCTCTCTCAATATTAGGGCAATTACCTGGAGCCAGGACAGAATTTTTTACAACAGCCTCTGACACTTTCTTCAACTAATTTTCCTGCTGAACAGCAACACTCTGGCTGTTACTTCTTCTATTCTTAGTATTAGCCCTATCGCCAATTATTCTCCTATTAATAGCATTACTATTGAACACCCTTATGTTTTTAAAATGTACCTGGATCCATGGGCCATATTCAGAACTGATCACTGATGTCTTACTATCAGTCACAACTTTATTACCTTCCTCATTAGCTGGATCTGTCTTCCTCGATTTTTGATCTTGAATCCCAAGTTTCACATTCTCCGGACATGCATTAACTTCATGACCCACTTTGCCAGATTGGTAGCAAAGAAGATCAATCCTCTCGTACTCCACCCGTTGGAAGAATCTCCCAGTTAAGCCATCAACCTAAACACCATTCAATAACATTTTCTCTAAATCAATCCTTACACAAACCCAAGCAAACTCACACTTTCCCCAGCGAAAGGTATTGCCATCTAAGTACATTAGGGATCCAAAGCAAGAAGCAATTCTCGCTATATTGTCCTCATCCCAGCATTACAGTGGCAAGCACGGGAATCTGATCCATACCTTCCCTTAAACGAGTTTGGATCAAAAACAGGGGACCATCTATCTATTCCAACAATGAATCCACTCACATACCAAGGCCCGCCATTCAAAATTTCTTCTACCACCTCATTCGATTTAAAAGAACATAATATCCAGTTCATGCCAATTGAAGTCATATGAAAACCACCATATTTGCTCCATTGCCTCCTCAATTCAATACTACACACAGAAAACAATACGTTGTTTCCCAAAACTTTAATTACAACTGAATTTTTCAAAATCTCTGAGTTCTTTGCCTCCATTTTAGAATTTAATCTCACTGCAATTCCATCTTCAGAAAATTCAGCTTGATCCCTGTTAAATGAAATCTTGATATGTTTCAGCTTCGACCATGCTTTAGCAATCTAACCATTGCTTTCATGTAAACATTTATCATTCGGATTGGCCTTCAAGAATTCAATATTCTCTAAAACCTTTACAGAATCCTCAACGTTATTCAAATTTTCATCAACCTTCTGACCATCTACCGACGACAGAACATTAGCAACATTCCAATCCTTATGCATATCAAGAACTCCAGAAAAATTATTTACCCATAGAATTAAATCATCTGAAGCTGCAGGTTCAAGAATAGATAAACCTGGATTTCTTTTCTCTTCCATAATCTTCTTAGTAACCATGTCCTCCATCACAACATTCTTCCCCTTACCCTCAACAAGAATTTGACGGCTCAGAGGTCTTGCCCCTTCTCTAATCACAATGCCATTCGAAGCTCTACCAGTGACTCGTAAGGAGCTAGAAGGATGCGGGGCATTCATGAAGACCGGCAAAGAAACGCCGGCGATCCTCCGGTGCCAACTCCACCGATTAAAAGCCCGTGAAAAAACAAAATTTGAACCTCCAGCAAACTTTCTCTCTATAGAATTCCAGATGTTCTCAACAATGCTATTCCTACCTTCCAATTTTTTTATCATAGAATAATTCAAGAGGAGCTTAATTGTGCAAGGGATTACAATACTAAAGAAGATCTTGATGATGTCACAATGAAGTGTGCAAAGTTAATGAAGGTCTTACATTATTTAAATAAATCGGGATTTGGATTTCCTATCTTCGAATCATTGCAACATTGCTGGAATTGGATGGAGAATATATAGTAAAGATTTTGGTTTTCTTATTAATATTTATTCAAATTAAATATATCTCAATTGGCTGGAAAGAAATAAGTATTTACACCAAGGGAAAGAGGATAGCGCCATGGTTATTACTACAAATTCAATAAGTTATGCTTCTATCTTTTTCATGTTTTATAAAGTTAGATTGGGCCACTAGGGTACAATCAGTTGAGTAGACTGTTGGATCATTCGTACCCTCCTCCTCCCGATTGGATCAAAATTAATATGGATGCTTCTTTATTGCAATCTTATAAAGCTTGAATCGGAGGTGTAATCCGAGATAGTAGAGGGAGATTTCTCTTAGATTATGGACATACTTATTTGCATTGGGATCTTTTTCAGCTAGAGCTTATGGCTATTCATTTTATAAAAAAATATATCAAAAGATTGGATGCTAAGTTACAAAGGGATTATCATAAATGGAGACAACTATAACATCATCAAATTTTTCAAGACTTGGGCAGCAATTGGATGATCTTACTTTTTTAAAAGAGTATAATTATGTTTATTTGAATTGGGTAAATAGAAATTACTATAAGTTAGCAAATATTCATGCTAACTTTGCTCTTTTTAGTAATTTTCATTGGGATAATATATCTTCTAATAAGATTCCTCTTTCATTTGTTAGTTTGTTAAAAAAGGAATCTAGATATGAGGGGGGTAGAAGGTTGTAATAATTTCTCTTTTTTAGTTAATGTAATTGCTTTGATTTATTTAAAGAAAATAAAATAAAGATATTTACACATACTTTGTAACTTCTTATTCAATAGAATTCTTCTAGTAAACACAACCATTTTTATTCCGGCTGCTTTCTTTTATCTTTGTAAATTATTAAGAGAATACCATGGGAAACATAGCTAGAGAATAAATCAATAAAATTTGACATCTATTAATAATAGTTTTTTTACGTAGTAATAGTTCAATTAACCTTTTGGGAAATAAAGCTTTTTTGGTAAAACACTAACTAATCATTCTTTTCTTGTCACTCAAAAACATTTTTAGGTTATATAATATGCTTACACCAATTCCTCAAAATATCCTAGTGCTATATTTAGGTTAAGTCAAACATGCACATACCAAGATGTACGTCAACCACTAACATTTTTAATGAGCATTTGTTAATAATGTGACTGATATTTTATAGGACATACAAGGGACATTAGTACGTGGAGGATGTGTTAGTTGGTCTTCCAATAAGAGTTTATCAATGCTTTGGGTTACTAATTGAGACTTTTGTGCATCTATGGGTAGTCATGACATTTTAAATGATACAAAAATATGGTCATAGTAGAAAAACTTAGCATATTTCTACAGGAGGCAACTTATGCTCATAGCTTTAGACCTTTATTTGATAGTGCATACACATGTCATTAGTATGTGGATGATTTTTGTTGGGTCATATAGTAATTAGAAGTTTTATAATTGGTTTTAAAACCAATTGAATTATGGAATAGCACACAAATAGGAGGGTGAATTGGTGTTTCAAAAACATTTTCAAAGCTTTTGAAATAACAATAAAAATCAAATTTAATGTTATAGCCATCACAATTCACAATATCAACCAAAAGTAAATACTAACTTTATGGTTTTGTTTATCTTTTTTTTTTTTAATATTTAAGAAAAAAATCAACTTCAGTCAACCATAATTCTCTTTATATCACAATATTAGCTAAACAACAACAAAATTATAGAAAGAAATATATACAGGAAAGTAAAAACTACATAAAATAAATGCAAAAAATAAAAGAACACAAATCAAATTTTTATAGTGGTTCAATCAACTTGACATACATTCACTCCATGAAGTGCTCCTCTTCTAGTATTACACTAAATAATAGTAAATCTCCGTCAGTGCCCTCTACTGAGAGAAGAAGCCCTTATAAAATAACTTTTACCAACCTCATATGCCAGAGTAGCCAAAATCCATTTCACCTCCTCGGTGTGATAAAGAGCCAAAATTCTTCTTACCTCCTTAGACAGAGTAGCTTAATTCTCATTCACTTTCTTGATGTGATGGAGAGCCCAAAACACTTTCAGCTACCTAGTGCAATAGAGTAGTCAGCAACCTTTGGACACTAATGGATTCTTCATAGAGCTTCCCTTAAGACAAACACTAACACATGGGGGTACTCAAATACAAGTTGGCTAGAGTAATCATGTGAAACTTTCTGTCACACTCTGTTGAAACCAACGAGGATATTCTCTCTCACACATAACCTTACCCTTCCTATCCATTTTCTTAATTCCCTCTCTTTAGTGCTGTCACAAAGAAGAACCAACCCTCTTATTGCTAAAGACTTTTTCTTAGGTTATTAAGAGAGCTTAAATAGTGAGCTTCCAAAAACTCGAATAATTCAATTATGCTGACTTTATTCATATACTATAATTTTTGGAAAATCTAGTATGATCAGTTAAGAACCGTCATATATCATCTAGTATAATTAATTCAAATCAAAAATTGGATCATACAACATGAACCAAGGTTTATCTAAAGAGTGTTCAGGGTGATTCATGTTGTATGATACAAGACCATCCAGCATGATTTGTAATTAATTCCTATCTAGTTTGATTTCTTAATTACACAACTTAAATTAGGCAATATTTTAAAAGATCATACAATATGAATATGTTCGTACAGTATGAATAGTTTGATATTAAAATTCAAATTTATGATTAGTTAAGTTTGATTTGGCGGTGGGTTTTTTTATAATAGCTAATCTTCTTGCACGATGTGATATTTACATAATAAGCATAGTTATAATTCAAAATTTTAATTTAAATTAAATATTTTAATTAATTTTTTTGCACTAATCATACAATATGATAGAG